ACAGACAAATCCCTAGCATAGGAAAAACTAATAGGATTTTAAAGGTACCACACCATGTATATAAAAAGTTTAAATTTTTATTATACAAAATAGTACTGTTAAAAACAAAGTCATATATTATGCCAGCAGTTGACAATCACATCCCATATTAGTCCTGGAGAAGGTCTCATATAGTCATCTCTGACACGTTTCGCAGAACAAGCCCGCTTCATCAGGAAGATCTGGCATATGTTTTTCTAAAGTTACAAACAAAACCAACATGAGTAACAGTAAAGTATTATAAATACAAATATTATACTCTGGATCTTTCCACATGTATGTATTATCTGTTACAAGGAGACTCACATGTCTTATAAGTTGTTCCAAGACTGAAGGAGCCACAAACACCATATGGAGCCAGTGTGCATGAGGACTTAATGAACGATCACATAGTTACAGCAAGGCAATGTTTCGGAGTCTCGCAGGACCCCTTTATCAGGCATGTGACGCTGTGATTGTCAACTGCTGACACATTACTGTCTTTGTTTTTAACAGTGCTTCAATGTTTGTTATTGTGATTTTGTAACATTTTGTATAATACAAATGTAAACATTTTATATGCATGGTGTGGTACCTTTAAAATCCTATTAGTTTTTGCTATGCTAGGGACTAGGCTTTGTTACTACTGACATTTAGGATTCATTGTTGATGTGTTGCATTATGACTGTGTCCCTGTTAGGGAGATAATCCCTCTCTATTTACACAGGTGATCACTGTGCCCAGTGCAAAAAATGATTGGAAATCCAACATTTTTAAGTTGTCACCAGAACAGGTGTCCCCATTGGTAGATTTCCCCTCACTCCTGCTCTGGTGACAACCTAAAAATGTTGGATTTGCACATATTGTTGGATTGCACATAATGTTGGATTACACATCTATTTCTGTTTATGAAGAGGGACTAAGAATATGCATGCATCATACATACTAAGGGGGGTACAACTGGGGGAATCTATGGTGGAGAAGAAAAGAACATTGGGGAACTGGAGAAAGTACAGAGAAGAGCAACCAAACTGATAAGAGGCATGGAGGAGCTCAGCTATGAGGAAAGATTAGAGGAACTGAATTTATTCTCTCTTCAGAAGAGGAGATTAAGGGGGATATGATCACCATGTATAATACATAAGGGGGGATATGATCTCCATGTATAATACATAAGGGGGATATGATCTCCATGTATAATACATAAGGGGGGATATGATCTCCATGTATAATACATAAGGGGGGATATGATCTCCATGTATAATACATAAGGGGGATATGATCTCCATGTATAATACATAAGGGGGATATGATCTCCATGTATAATACATAAGGGGGATATGATCTCCATGTATAATACATAAGGGGGGATATGATCACCATGTATAATACATAAGGGGGGATATGATCTCCATGTATAATACATAAAGGGGGATATGATCTCCATGTATTATACATAAGGGGGGGATATGATCACCATGTATAATACATAAGGGGGATATGATCTCCATGTATAATACATAAGGGGGGATATGATCACCATGTATAATACATAAGGGGGGATATGATCTCCATGTATAATACATAAGGGGGGATATGATCTCCATGTATAATACATAAGGGGGGATATGATCTCCATGTATAATACATAAGGGGGGATATGATCACCATGTATAATACATAAGGGGGGATATGATCTCCATGTATAATACATAAGGGGGGATATGATCTCCATGTATAATACATAAGGGGGATATGATCTCCATGTATAATACATAAGGGGGATATGATCTCCATGTATAATACATAAGGGGGATATGATCACCATGTATAATACATAAGGGGGGATATGATCACCATGTATAATACATAAGGGGGGATATGATCTCCATGTATAGTACATAAGGGGGGATATGATCTCCATGTATAATACATAAGGGGGGATATGATCTCCATGTATAGTACATAAGGGGGGATATGATCTCCATGTATAATACATAAGGGGGGATATGATCACCATGTATAATACATAAGGGGGGATATGATCACCATGTATAATACATAAGGGGGGATATGATCTCCATGTATAATACATAAGGGGGGATATGATCTCCATGTATAATACATAAGGGGGGGATATGATCTCCATGTATACTAACAGTAAATACATCAATGGTTCATATAGTGAACTCGGTGTAGAGTTATTTTCCCTGAGGTCATCACAGAGGACAAGGGGGCACTCTTTACGTCTGGAGGAAAAGAAATTTAATCTCCAAACATGGAAAGGTTTCTTAACAGTGAGAGCTGTGAAAATGTGGAATAGACTCCCTCAAGAGTTGGTTCTGGCCAGCTCGGTGGATTGCTTTAAAAAAGGCCTGGATTCTTTCTTAGATACACAGAAAGTTTTCTTCACAGTAAGAGGGGAATTTCCTTCACTGTAGAGAGGTCTCCTTTTATGTCCTGTTGTATTTGCAAAACAGGATATGAAGGCAAATCTCCCCCAGTGAGATACAAACAGCAAAAAACTGGATGGTGTCTTCATAAACAGTAATAGATGTGGACATTTTTTTTGCCAAATGATAAATTAAAAAAATAAAAAGATTAAAATAATGCCCACATCTATTGTTTATGCAGCCTGATTGTATTACACTAATCAAAAAGGAGGCTTAAACTGGGCTTTATGCAGCTCTCTGGAAATTCCTAATTGTTACTTTAAAATTACTCTTAACACAAAAGTGTTTTTTCTGCTTTTTTATGGATCAGGTGGCGGTAGTGTGTGGCTCGTGTACAGCTGGCGGGGCGTACATCCCAACCATGGCGGAGGAGACTATTATGGTGGACAGGATTGGAACTATATTTTTAGGAGGACCCCCACTTGTTAAGGCTGCCACGGGGGAGGATGTATCGGCTGAAGAACTTGGCGGAGCCAAACTTCACTCCAGGTAACACAGCCAAGATTGCCTAGGAAGAGCTGGCTGACGTTGGATTACATTTTGTAACTGGCTTCATATATTTGTTAAATATTACAATACTGAGTTCCGCCCATTATAATTCATGGCTCTGTTCCTGTCCACCTGGGAGGTTTTTGGTGTCACTACCCATCTTCGTGTGTTTCATCTCCTCCTTTTACATACTCTATAAAAGTCAAATCTAGCAGGTATGTTGGGAGCCCTCATAATGGAGACAGCAGGTGTGCTGACCTGGGATCTCAGCACAGAGATTTCACCAGTAAAGTATCTAAGAGTTAAAAAAAAAATCAGGTTGCTTAAAGCAGAACTCCAGGCAAAAATAAGATAAATATGAATAACTTAAAAGATAGAATATCAAAAGCTTTTACTGCAGTAATCACATTCAATTCAGAGATTTCAGTACTTTGTTTCTGCTATGTGATGACCTCAGTCTGATGACCAGCATCATTTAACCCACTTCTTCTGAGCCCATGTTGCCCTGGATCTGTTCCATCCTTTGACTGGACAATGAAAGGAGAAGCAGCACAGGGATGAGCTCATCATCTCCATGTATAATACATAAGGGGGGATATGATCTCCATGTATAATACATAAGGGGGGATATGATCTCCATGTATAATACATAAGGGGGGATATGATATCCATGTATAATACATAAGGGGGGATATGATATCCATGTATAATACATAAGGGGGGATATGATCTCCATGTATAATACATAAGGGGGGGATATGATCTCCATGTATAATACATAAGGGGGATATGATCTCCATGTATAATACATAAGGGGGGATATGATCTCCATGTATAATACATAAGGGGGGATATGATCTCCATGTATAATACATACGGGGGGATATGATCTCCATGTATAATACATAAGGGGGGATATGATCTCCATGTATAATAACTAAGGGGGGATATGATCTCCATGTATAATACACAAGGGGGGATATGATCTCCATGTATAATACATAAGGGGGGATATGATCTCCATGTATAATACATAACGGGGATATGATCTCCATGTATAATACATAAGGGGGGATATGATCTCCATGTATACTGTAAATACATCAATGGTTCATATAGTGAACTCGGTGTAGAGTTATTTTCCCTGAGGTCATCACGTTGCCCTGGATCTGTTCCATCCTTTGACTGGACAATGAAAGGAGAAGCAGCACAGGGATGAGCTCATCATGAAGTCACTCTGCTCTCTCTTCCTATCAGCATGCTCATTGTCAACACATGAACTGACTAGCTTCTTGTACTGCTCCTTCCTCTCACCCTCCAGCCCTAGTAATTTGTGTCTTTTATATCTGCCTGAAGTTCAGCTTTAACTATCCAGCATTTACCAAGAACTGAAATACCAGTGTAGTGCTACCCCCGCACGAGCTGCTGGTAGTATTGGCTCCTCTGCTCTCTCTCTTCTTAGATGGAGCCTCATTCCTACTGACACCATGAGAATACTTTAGCCGGGGCTTTCCAATGGCCACACATGAATGGGACACACTAACAGTTATAAAACAAACTGGTTTTGGTGTACCAAAAGGCAATGTAGCAATTCAATGACTCAAGGTTAGCACATGAGAAACAGTACAAACTGAACACAATGCAATTGATTTGGGTACTCTTGAGGTTGAAGGCTCTCAGTAGGCCTGTGATTTTGTTCAATTTCCTGCAAATCAGGGCTGCTACCAGACAGATCATTAGATCTAAACAGTTTCTTAATATAAGCTTCTGCTGTCTTAGTTGGGACCCTTAACGTTGGCGTGTAAACAGTGCAAAGTTGTTTAGAGGGTGGAGTCCAGAAGGCAGTCTAACAAAGGGCAGACTCAGTCAGGAAACAGGCCTGGCTACCTGGCTGGTAGGACAGGCTAGAACTTGTAGTTCCAAATGGTTGAGTGTAGATGGCCCATGTCCTGTGTACACTAACATTGACATCTACTATTTTATCTTGAGCGTTGTCTCCATTCTCTGCCTAGAGTCAGCGGTTGTGTCGATCATTTTGCAGCTACAGAACCCGAAGCGTACAGCTGCGCCCGACTCATAATTTCTACCCTAAACTTTGATCCGCCACCCGACAGCTGTAATGAGTTCGAAGATCCTCTTTATGATACCCATGAGTTATCGGGGCTAGCACCGAGAGGCTACAACTGCACTCTGGACATAAAACTGGTGAGTGTATCAGGTTTAATAATGTACAATGGGGGAATTTATCAAGAACGTTACAAGCTAAAGGCACAACAAAAATGGTTGACAGAAACACATTGGGGGAAACTTACTAAAACTGGAGCACTCAGAATTTGGTGCAGCCGTGCATGGGAGCCAATCAGCTTCTAACTTCTTCTAGCTTCTGCTTGTTCAGTTAAGCTTTGGCAATAAAACCTGGAAGATGATTGGTTTCTATGCAGAGCTGTTTCAGATTTTGTATGCTCCAGTTTTAATAAATAACCCCCATGGTGTGTAGTTGCTTCTTTCTTGTGGTAATAAGTAGAAGTGAACCAGATTAAAGCATGACCAGCTCTTGTTGTACAGTGTAAATGATGCAGGTAAACGGGTTATTCTGCTACCACTGTCTCTGTTATCTGAGCGTCAGGTTCATGTGATGGCACAGAAATGATAGAAGCCCATATACACTGACATTTGTTGTATGTTCCTTTTAACACGGTGACTTCAAGTAGTTGTAATTTTTTTGTAAAATAACAAACATTTCTATACTTACCTGCTGTGTGCAATGGTTTTGCACAGAGCAGCCTGGATCCTCCTCTTCTTGGGTCCCCCGTAGGCTCTCCTAGCTCCTCCTGTCTGTTGGGTGCCCCCACAGCAAGCAGCTTGCTATGGGGGCACCCACTGCTCCGTGTTTCCTTTCACACACAGAGCCACGTCTTGGTCCCACCCATCTATCTCCTCATTGGCTAACTGGCTGTGATTGACAGCAGCAGGAGCCAATGGCTCCTGCTTGCTGTCTCAGCCAATGAGGAGGCAGAGACCCGTGACAGCTGAGGGTGTCATTATCATCTCTGGATTGCGATGAGGCTCAGGTAAGTATTGAGGGGGCTGGGGGCACTGCTGCACACAGAAGGTTTCTTACCTTCATGCATTTTTAGATTCATACAGTCCAGCTCAGGATTGAGCCTGCAGATGTGCTCTCATTGCTGAATATACACAAAAGAGCTAGCCCTCTTAAAGGGACTTGTTTTGTGCAGTGAAATGTCCACAAAAAAAAGTTATATAAAAAGATGTGCCTCCATAGCTAGCAACTTGCTATGGGGGTACACAAAGAAGAGGAGTAGCCAAGAGCTCCAGCAAGGGACCCCAGAGGAGGTTAAGGGCTGCTCTGTGCAATACTATTGTAAGTATTACATGTTTTGTTATTTTAGCAAAAAAAAGTGCTTTTATAACCACTTTAAAGCAGAACTGTGGGCATTTTTTTCCCATTTTGGAAAGAGTAAGGAAGGGTTATAACCTCTGTTGGTTTTTTTGCCATCTGTGTCCCATTGGTGAGATTTACCTTTCCTGGTAGTGCGAGGAAATCCCTGAAAATTAAGGGAATCTCTTGGGGCCATCAAGTCAACATAATTAGTGTCCCTATTGGAAGATTTGCTCTCTATTACTGTTCTGGGGACTACCCAAAATGTAGGATTTTCTTTTACTTTCACTTTCAATGATAATAGTAAACAGGACAAACAGAGAGGTGAATCACCTTCACAGGGGCACAGACCACAAATAAAATCTAACAGGTATTCTAGTCCATCTCTACTCTGTTCAAAATGAAAAAAAAAAACCCCAGAAAATTGTACCATACTTACCATAATTTTTCTTTCCTGGAGCCTATCCATGGCAGTATACCTATAAAAAGCCCCGCCTTAGACTCCTCCCTCAGGACCAGTGAATATATAAAAGAAAGGATTAAGGTATCCCCAGCATTCTCTGTAATGTAGAATACCGAGGGCGGGATTGTATGCTGCCATGGATAGGCACCAGGAAGGAAAATTGCGGTAAGTATGGTACAATTTTCTGTTTTCCTGGTACCTCCATGGCAGCATACATGTGATAAATAACTAGCTGAAATGGGTGGGATCATGCTTAGAAAAAGTTTTATTAAAAAAATAGGAGGATTTTCATTTGGAACAGGTAACGACCGCCTTGATAGCTTGTCTGCTGAATTCCACGGATGAGAGAGCCCCTGGGTCCACTCTGTAGTGCCTCATAAATGTGTGTTGGGATGACCACGTAGCTGCTCTGCAGATGGTCTCAATGGATGCATTTGCCCTAGCTGTGGAGACAGACCTGGTCGAATGTGCCTTGATTGAAGAGGGGGGTTCCAGACCCCTGACCCTGTATGCCTTATGAATTAACTTGACTATCCATGAAGCAATTGTTCTTGATGAAGCCTCTTTTCCCTTGTTTTTGCCCCAGAGGATGACAAATAGATTAGACGAGTCCCTAAAAGATGCTATAGCTTGAAGATAACACCTTAGCACACTGGCGATGTTGAGCTCATGGAAGGTACCTGATTCCAGGTCTGAAAGGGTTGGCAGAGCCCATGGTTCCAAAAGATTGGAAAAGGAAGAAACCTTTGGAACAAATTTGCACAGTGTTCTAAGTTCTACCCTATCTGGGTAGAAAGTAAAGTGGTCTTCTTCTGCCCCTAGGGCTTGAAGTTCTGACACTCTTTTACCAGATGATACTGCTATTAGGCCACTTTTAGAGCCAGATTCCACAAAGAGGCCGATTTGGACTGAGAAAATGGTTGGCTGGATAAAGCCTCTAGGACTACAGATTCCCAGGTGGGAAAAGCATTTTTGACCGGTGGACATATCTTCTTAATACCTTGAAAAATTTGGCCAACCTCTTGTATATTGCCACAGAGACCTTTAAGGTGCTCAGGCCTAGACCTAGGTTAACGCCTGCATGGAGGAAGTCCAGAAGCTGAGAAGTGGAGGGCAGATCTGGTTGAGGTTCCTGCTATTTGAAAAGGCTTTACAATTAATATGTACGACAAAGTTTGGAACAAATTTAGAGGGTTTTCTGGCTTTGAGTAGAGTCGAAATAACTTCCGAAGAACATCCTAGGGCCTGGAACCTCTGACTTTCAACAACCATATGTGAAGCTTCAATTTGTGAGGATTTGGATGTGTGTGCTGTTTCTGACACAGAAAAAAAGAATGAGTGGGATTTTTATCGGTGAGCGAATACTGAGGAACACTGCTACAGGAAACCATGGACATCTCGGCCAGTAGGGTAGGACCGTTATCACTGTTGTGACTTCCATCAGATGTCTCTAAAGGAACTTCGAGATAAGAGGCCAGGGGGGGTAGGAAATGCATAGGCCAGGTCGCATGTCCACGGACTCGAGAGGGCATCTATTTCTTCTGCCTAAGGGTGAGGTAGGCATGAAATGAACCTCAGCGCCTTGGAGTTGTCTGCTGTAGCAAAGAGATCCAGATTGGGAAGACCCCGCAGATTCACAAATCAATCGAATATCTTGGGATGCAGAGACCAATCGTTGGCATCCACAAATTTTTGGGACAAAAGGTCCGCCTTTGTAATCAAGTGCAGTGCGCCCCCAGCCGATCACACTGGCATCTGTGTTAACTATCATCCAGGAGAGATACCCCAATGGACGCGATCCTCTAACCATTTCTTTCTTTGTCCACCCCCGTACCCCTCTGTGCATCAGACTTGTCAAATGTATGGGCTGGGATAGGTAAAGCTTGTTCCATTGTCTTAGAAATTCTGGTGCCAGTGGACCCATGGAACCAGTGGGATACATGCTGACATAACCCCTATCAGATTTCAGGCAGTTTGAAGCCATCAGGTGGGATCGCGTCCTCACTTTCTTCTTCTTCCGGATGATGGCTGCCATTTTCTGAGGTGGAAGGGACACTGACCCCTTGGAAGTGTTGAATATAGCACCTAGATAAATCATTTTCTGTGTTGGGATAAGCTGACTTTTTGTTTGATTTATCATTTACCCATCTGAACTCTGACAGTGTGGAAATCAGAACCTTTCTGTGTTCTGTTAGTTGGGCTGGATTCCTTGCTAGTAGCAGAACATCGTCCAGGTAGTGATATACCCTGAGCCCAACTTCCCATAATGGGGCTGGGACTGCGATCAGTACTTTTGTGAAGACTCTGGGAGAAGTACATAGACTGAAGGGCAAACTCTGGAATTGAACATGAATCTGGCCGACTGCAAACCTCAGATATAATGGTGGGAGTATGGGTGTGTGTAAGTATGTGTCTTGAAGGTCCACTAACAGCATCCAGTCCCCTGGTTGAACAGTGTGGATAATAGTCTGCAGTGAATTCCTCTTAAAGCTCTCCAAGAATATGTAATGGTTTAATTTCTTGAGGTCTATTACGGATCTCCATTCCTTTGGGGTACCAGAAATAGGTTGAAATAAAAACCTGAAAGCCTCTCGGATGTAGGAACACTGCCTGCTGTGCCTGTAGGGAATCCAGAAATTGAAGAAGTACCTCTTTCTTCTGAGGAGACTCTGGTATTCTCATGGGGGTGAAGAAGTCGTGAGGCGGCCGGTTTGAGAAAGACCAGAAGTGCCCGAATTGTCGAGACCACCCAGGGATCCTGGCATTTGCTTGGCATTGCTTGGCAAAATGCTTCAGTCTGGCTCCTCCTGGGATTGTCTGGGATGACCTGGGTCTCAAAAAGACTTGGTGGAGTGCCCTGCGGATTAGGCAGAACCATTTGTTTGTGGGCCCTCAAAGTGGATTATGTGCTTCTCCAGGTCTTTCTTGAATCTCTGCCCTGTCTAAACTGCCTGTAATCTTTACTCGTGAACTGCTGAAATCTTGAAGTAAATCCCCTGGTATGTCTAGGTCTTCTCTCTTGGGGTAACAGGCCTGATTTCCCTCCTGTAACATGGGAAATGGACTTTCCCAGCCTCTCTCCAAACAGTGCTATGCCATCGAAAGGGATTTTACACCAATTTTGTTTTGACACCATGTCGGCTACCCATGGCTTCAACCATAAGGTCCGGCATGCAGAATCGATGTTGCAGAAGATCTTATTATATCGATAGTTGTTTCACCAATTAAGTCAGCCAGGAGCCTGAGCTCATCCAGAGCCTTTGAGTATGTTTTCCTTGGGAACTCCCTGTTGGATAGCCACCTCTATATTGTCCATCCATAATCGCAAGGCATTGGAGATGGATGTCAGCGCATAACATGTGTGCATTTCCGGCCATCTAATAGGCCCTCTTTAGGTCAAGATCTATTCGTCTGTTTAGGATGTCTTTAATCGAGGTTGAGTCATCTATAGGTAATGTTATGTTTTTTGCTAAGTGGACCACCGCTGCATCTTAAAAAGGAATTCAAGTAATTGCAAAATAGCTTATTTGCCCATAACCAAGATGGCCACTGCAGCGTCCAGCTGCACTTCGGATGCATGAACCGGCCGCTCTAGGACCCAGCCGGGTGTCCGTGCATGCGCACTGCACTCAGGAAGACGCCGGCACACATGGAAAGCTGGAGAGGGGGAGCGCGCTGGCTCTATAGGGGAGGGAAAACAAAAACAAAAGAAATACAAAAGCAAAGGAAGGAAAAAAGTACCTGGGAAGGGACAGAGAAGGAGAGTAGGTGAGCGTATGGAAAGCCATTAAAGAGAAGGACAGGAATAGCTGCTCTCTCTGTCCTAAGCCTCAGCGGACGCCATGAACTTGTCGGCAGACATAGTTCTTCTGGATAAGTGACAACTGCTGTCCCAAAAGACCTTCAGAATGGACTCCCTACCTTTATCAGCGCCTTTAGTTACCCAAGAGTAGGGACTGCGAATGGGAGAGGCTGAACCTCGGTGGAAGATGCTCACAGCAGAGATAAGGACGACCGACTTTCATTCACTGACCATAAGGTATGAGGAAAAAAAGGAGAATGCTGGGGGGGGTTTCTTAATCCTTTCTTTTATATGTTTACTGGTCCTGAGGGAGGAGTCTAAGACATGGCTTATCACAGGTATGCTGCCATGGAGGCACCAGGAAAGAGGTTTTGCCTATAGTTATACTTTACCCGTTTCCGACCGCCCTATAGCAGAAATACTGCTACAGGGCGGCATGGGTGCACATTTCTGGGTAGGGGCGCGGGACCATTCAACACGGCCATTGGGCCCATGTGCAGTGGGGAGCCAGATGAAAAAGCCATAGCCGGCTTCCCGCAGTTAACATGGAGATGTTGGGAACCCGAAGACCTGCGAAAACCAGCCCAGGTGGGGACAGCACTGGATCCCTGGACAGGTAAGTGTCTGTTTATTAAAAGTCAGCCGCTACAGTTTTTGTAGATGCTACCTTCTGATTTTTGGAAACCTTATTGAGCTCCACAATAAAGCAAACATGGCTACTTACATGGGCACACAACAACACACATAGGCTTATGCCTGTAGGGCACACTGCTAGTTTTAGTTTCCAATATTTCCATTGGGCCCATGGAAATCATGAAGTTCCTCTGCTAGCTATCACTTGCAGGTTGTTTGGTTTTGGCACCCCCATCACATCCCACAGTGCAGTGCTTCGTGTCTGAGCAACCTATCACAAGGCACAGGTATCAAATGGTGGGAGCAGGGGCGGACTGACCATTTGGAAACTTCGGCACTGCTCGAGGGCCCGGGGTCAGTAGGGGGCCCCATGAGATGCCCCTGATACCTTTTTCATAGGCTTTTTTGAGTTTGGGCAAGGACACAGGGGCCCCATGATCCCCTATTGCCCGGGGGCCCCATGAGTTGTCAGTCCGCCCCTGAGTGGGAGGCATGGGGTATGTCTATGCTTAGGCTAACTTTGGATGCAGCAGAAGGTCAGAGGATAGGCATTATGCCTAGTATAATTGGACAAAAAATACTGCTTTCAAAACAATCGTATGATAATCTGATTGCTAGTACACATTTTTCGAGAGTCGATCATGACAGTTTATGGGAAATTACCTGTAGGGACAAACACGAAAATATTTCTTGTACAATGGCAGAATGTACAATTTTCATTTTATTAGTACAGTATTTGCCCAAGAAAAATCAGAAGACCAAAGACCACGCATGCTCAGAAATGAAAGAATACATTACAATACATTACATTACTTTCGAAGTTGTAGTCTGTTGTACGAAAATTTTTGTAACTTTAGTGATGTCATTTTTGATGTGAGACTAGCATGCAAAAAAAAGGAACGATCATGTGTCCGATATTGTCATCATGTGTATGTACCAGGCTTAACACCAGAGCCTGCTTTTAGGCATAGTTTTTGTGTATGTATATATATATATATTGTCTCTGTTTTTATGACCTTTATGGCTTGTGAGTATGTTTTTGCATATTTTTAATAAATTTATGTATGTATGTGTGTGTGTATATGTATCAGCCACTTTATCTGGTTCACCTTGCTAGTACCGGGTTGGACCCCCTTTTGCCTTCAGAACTGCCTTCATTCTTCGTGGCATAGATTCAACAAGGTGTTGGAAACATTCCTCAGAGATTTTGGTCCATATTGACATGAGTTACTGTTGTCTTTCTATCATCTCGAGCCAGTCTGCCCATTCCCCTCTGACCTCTGACATCAATGAGGCATTTTCCTCCACACAACTGCCACTCACTGGATATTTTCTCTTTTTCGGACCATTCTCTGTAAACCCTAGAGATGGTTGTGCGTGAAAATACCAGTAGGTCAGCAGCTTTTGAATTACCCACCTGGCACCAACAACCATGCCACATTCAAAGTGACTTAAATCCCCTTTCCTCCTCATTCTGATGCTCAGTTTGAACTTCAGCAAGTTGTCTTCACCACGTCTATGTGCCTAAATGCATTGATTTGCTGCGATGTGATTGGCTGATTAGCAATTTGTGCTACCAAGCAATTGAACAGGTGTACCTAATAAAGTGGCTGGTGCGTTTATTTATATAAATATATATATGTGTGTGTGTGTGTGTGTGTGTATATATATATATATATATATATATATATATATTTATACAGTATCTATCTGTCTGTCTGTCTATATATAGTGGTTTTGCTGATTAGAACTGTTTGCAGATCCTGAGTCGCCTTGTAGACGGTAGTAAATTTCTGGAATTCAAAGCTGACTATGGAACAACACTGGTGACTGGATTTGCTGCCATTGAAGGGTATGTATGAACAATTTTGATTTTGATCCCATCATAACTATGTAGTGGCCAGGGGCGGACTGGCAACTCATGGGTCCCCCGGGCAATAAGGGATCATGGGGCCCCTGTGTCCTCGCGAACACTCAAAACCACACCCAAAAAAGCCTATGAAAGGTTTCAGGGGCATCTCATGGGGCCCCCTACTGATCCCGGGCTCTTGGGCAGTGCTCAAGTGCCAGAATGGTCAGTCCGCCCCTGGTAGTGGCTGATTAAGCCCTGGCTTACACTGCATCCGACTTTGAAATCATGCAACTTCACTTGAAGTCGCACGATTTCAAAGCCGCATGTCAGTGCGATTTCAGGTGCTACTTGGATGACATCTGTGCGACTTCATGCACAGGTGTCTAAGCAAGTTGCACCTGAAATCACAAAAATAGTACAGGAATCTTTTTTTTTTTTTCAAATCGGTGTGACGTTGCAAAGTCGAAGTGCACCAGTTTGAACGGTACCATAGCCGACAATAGGGTGCGACTTGTCATGTGATTTGAAAATGTCACATTGCACCGGTGTGAACCAGGGCTAAATGCCTTCTTTTGCTGCCCACCTGATTTTCTTTATCACAGAGCTACAGTTTTCAGATAACTTCAGTAGCTGTAGTTCAAAAACATACTTTATTATGTTTGAAAGAACATATACAGTAAGTAATATATGTGTTTTTTTTTTTATATTGGCAGAGTTTCTTGCACTTGGTGTTTCACCCACTGTGTCATGGTGTCAGGTTTTGTGTTTATTTTTCTTTTCTTTTTTTTCAGATATTTGGTTGGAATTGTAGCTAGCAATGGTGCACTTACCCATGATGCTTCACTGAAAGGAAGCCATTTTGTACAGATCTGTAACCAGCGTAACATCCCTCTGCTGTTTCTTCAAAATACAACTTCTCAGGAACCTCTCCCACTGAGTCTGTCCAAGGTATGCATGCTACAATGCAGGGTTGGGGGGCATCAGATTTAATGCTGCCCTCTCTAGCAGCCTGGTATTTTCAAGCATAGAGGAGCATATGACCCACTCCTCTTCCTCTATCAGCCCCCATGTGATTAGTACTGAGACAATCAATAAGCACCAGGGATTTCACATGGAGGTGTAGAGACAATCACCAAGCATCAGGGATGTCACATGGAGGTGTAGAGACAATCGCCAAGCATCAGGGATGTCACATGGAGGTGTAGAGACAATCACCAAGCATCAGGGATGTCACATGGAGGTGTAGAGACAATCACCAAGCATCAGGGATGTCACATGGAGGTGTAGAGACAATCACCAAGCATCAGGGATGTCACATGGAGGGTGTAGAGACAATCACCAGCCCTATGTGTGTTCGGTCTAGACCTACACTATGCCTGATTTCCATGCTCCTGGTGGCTGAAGGTAACAAATGCAAGATTAGGTGGGAAGATGTTGCAAACCCACTGTGCAGGACTCTGGTGGCAGCTCAGCATCCTGGCTGTGGCACTGTGTTCCAATGCCCTTTCATTTTGGAAGTATACCTACGTAAATTTTTATCCTTATACTGCAACTGTCATGATCTTTTTTTAAGACAATAATACATTGTATGGCCAAAGTTTGGGGGAAATCTAACCTTCACACCTACCTACATGACCAAACGTATGTTGACCGTCCTACAGATGAGTGCTTTCAGTAAAGGGTACAGCATACAAAGATGTCTTAGACTTAGACAATTGTGCTCTTCCAACTTTGTGGTAACAGCTTGGGGAAGACCCTCTTCTGTTCCGGCATGACTATGCCCCTGTGTACAAAGCCAGCTCCATAAAGACGTGGTTTGATTAGGTTGGTGTTGAGGAACTGGAGTGTCCTGTACAGAGCCCCGACCCTAATTAACACCTCGGGGATAATTGGAACGCTGATTGCCAGCCAGGTCTTCTCATCCAACATCAGAATCTGATATCACAAATTCTTGTTTTGCTGAATGGGCTACAGACACACTTCAAAATCCTCTAGAAAGCCTTCGCCGAAGAGTGATGGCCATTAGGCTCCATTCACACATGAGTGTTTTGTAGCTCTAAGCTCCAGAACACTTGAGGGAGCAAAAAATCAGTTATTCTCAATAGAGATGGTTCACATCTCCATTCTAAGTCGCCTGAAGCCAAGCACCTGAATAGTAATAATATATGAATAAATAAATAAATGTAAAATAATTACACAAATAAATACAAATCATCATAAATAAATATTAAATAAAATAAATGAATAAGACGTAAAAATAAATAATAATTACCCCCTAACCCTAAAAAAAAAATATATTTGAAAGAAGTTATTATTAATAATAGTAATAATAATAAAAAATAAATAAAAGCCTGAGTATGCAATTTTGTGGTTTCAACCTGAAATAATCAACCTGTCAGTATGAGAGCTCCAAAATTATATATTTACTGGTGAAAATACAGCTGTATGAGAGCACGCCTAGTGCTCTGATTAAGTTGATCACAGTTCACATTTTTATAGGGTTTCTTACAGGGTGGATTTGATTTAAATCAAACTGATTTAAATCACGATTTAAATCACTAGTCAGTAAGGCTTGATGTAAATCCTCCCTAGTTTTCTACATAAAGACTAATTCTTGCTGGTATAACTTTAATATACAAGTAGATGAAGATTTTTAAAATAACTTTTCATATTAGTTTTTTTTAGTTATCCCCAGTTTAATAGGTTAATCATTCATATTTGGACAACTTTTCTGTCGTACTTAGGAAGGAGAAAAATAATCATTACCTTAATAATAACAATTTAAATAGATTTATTCATCTGAAACAATAACATTCCAGCAGATGTGATTCGCTTAAACATCCATGTTTGTTAACTAATTTGGCTAAACAAAATATATATATTTGAAGAAACTTAGACTGTCAGCCCCTCCTCCTCACACTTAGTCTCACTTTCTTCTTGTGCAGATCTATTCTACTCCAAACAATCAGAAAAAATATTGTTTCTATTCTATTCACTGAACTTCTTGAAACTTAGCACTGAAGGGGTTGATTCTGTATTCATAGGTTTGTAGAAGTTAGGATGAAGGTCTTTTTCTTAACTCTGTTCATGTGTTATAACATTTTTGCTGTGAAGAAGAGGCATGTGATCTCCGCTGATCTCCGCTGAGTCAAATTCAGTTTTGAGAACTGCAAAAGTAAACCAAACATCTGTGATAATATCTTGTAGGCAGAGAAACTGCCCAATAATCTTACAAAAACCTCTGAAGAGCATGACATTGTGAATGGATTCATGGAATTTATTTACCAAAAAAATGAAACATATACAGCCTTATTCTACATAATTAAAAAACTAATCTTTATTTCATGATGGAATGACCTTTGGATGATAATATATTTTCCTCAAAAAGCATTGTATTCAAAAAAATCCGATTTAAATAAAAAAAATCTGATATAAATAAAATCCGATTTTTTTTGATTTTTTTTAAAAAATCATTGATTTTTATCCACCCTGGTTTCTTAGCACAGGCTACACCCATCATTACTTATCAGTTTTCCAACACCTGTATATATAGTGGACCAAAAGGAACATGTGTTTAAGAAAGCAGAAATTATTCAGATGCCATTTTAGCTGCTTATTACAAATAGAAAAATACAATTTATATTAAATGTTATATATATCAACTTATAATTGTGTATATGTATATATGCATAATAATAATAGCCACTACTAGTGTAAAGGACCTTACTCTAAGACACTCGTGTACGTACTTATGATATAATTTAACACTTTTATCACTGTTATTCCATTAAGCTGTACTTATGATTATGGAGATAGTAAGGATCATATTTATCCCTCTACAAACCCAAACCTGAACAAATAAAAAAGTAATTTGTTATTATTATTATTATTATTGATAATTATTATTATTTTTATTATAATGTATTTATTTTGTGTTAAGGTGTTTATTATTATTATTATTATATTATTTTTTTTTAAGGGTTAGGGGGTGAAGGCTAGGGGTTAGTTAGTTATTGATTATTGCATAGTATTCATGTATTGTATTTATTATTTATGATTGTTTGTATTTATTTGTGCATTTATTTTACATTAACTTATTTATGTATTATTATTATTAATAGTAATAATAACACCCCATCCCTTACAAAAACAAATAAAGAATAAATAAATAATCAGAAATAATAAAGAAACAATAAATAAAATATTAACCCCTACCGCAAACCCTAACTCCTACTTCAAACCTTAACCGAACACCCCAAATTCTAACCCTAATGTAACCCTTGCCCTAACAAAAAAATAAATAAATTAATAATAATAATAATAATATTATTATTATAATAATACTAAAAAAGGAAATAAAAGCTGATGGAAAAGCTGAAAAACCTAGCAACAACTGATGCAACAGATGATATTTTTTCTATTGGCTATTAAAAAAAATGCCAAAACTCAAAAACACCCAAAAAACGCTGCATGAAAATGCGTGAAAAACGTGCAAAAAAAAGTCACTGAAATTCGCTATGCTCAAGTATGAATGCAGCCTTATAGTCACAAAACTGAGGTACTAATGCCTGTAGTTTTGGAATGGGAGGTTCAAGAAGCTCTTATGTGTTTGTATCAGGGGCGGACTGACAACTCATGGGGCCCCCGGGCAATAGGGGATCATGGGGGCCCCTGTGTCCTTGCCCAAACTCAAAATAGTCTATGAAAAATGTACCAGGGGCATTTCATGGGGCCCCCTACTGACCCTGGGCCCTCGGGCAGTGCCCGAGTTTCCAAATGGTCAGTCTGCCCCTGATTTGTATTATTGTTATTCTAGAACAATAATATAACTGTTGCTTTGTTGTCCAGGCAGAAGTTTTAACGAACAGGCTGAAGGCTCAGGCCTCTATGATGGCTTCTGTAGCTTGTGCCTCGGTACCGAAGATCACTCTGGTTGTTGGTGGATGCCATGGAGGAGAGAGCTTTGCCATGGTATGTAGCCTCATGATTTCCTGAATTCACATAGAAAGGTCCAATAAATGGTGAGAAATAATCCCCTCCTCTAGGGGGCAGTGCACTAAAGAAAACTGAAAGGCCACCTCTTCCATACAGAAGATGGTGTATAAAAACTGTTGCAGGAAACACTCAAGAAGAGTTATAGTCACCCAAAATTGACATGCAGATGGAATCCTTGGTGGGAATCAAAGAAAGGATTGCAGTGCTTCAACACTGACTGCTTGAACATTTCATGTTATCACTAACTGTGACTAAGGGCCCTTTAGAGTATTTAATTTTTTCTTGTATATTAGTGGCAGCTCAGGCAGAGCAGTTTGCTTTCTTTGTTCATGGCCTAAAGTTTGGAAGCAGAAAAGCTTGACTTGTCATGGTGTTATTTCTCACACACCAGATAGAAGTGCTACTGATTCCCTGAGTGACTTTATAAGAACAGCTCATGGAGACAAAAATGATACAAGACTGCACATGTCAGTTACTCGGTTCCTGGTATATCATTTCTTGTGCACCACTTTACAGAATTTTGGATTGGGTATGAAATAACAACCCCTTCTAACTTTTTTTTTTAATATAAATCTGTACTCCCTCAGGGAGAGTTCCCTTCACTTTCTGTCCCAAAAGACATGCCAGAAAGTAAGAGAAAATGTCTCCAAAAGTGAGAAGATTTCTGTTATTAGACAGTTGTTACCTGAGCAGGTGTCCCCAATGGAAGATCTCCCATCATCTGCTGTTTTGGTTCCCCCAGTGGAAGATCTCCCATCACCTCCTGTTTTGGTTTCCCCAGTGGAAGATCTCCCATCATCTCCTGTTTTGGTTTCCCCAGTGGAAGATCTCCCATCATCTCCTGTTTTGGTGCCCCTAATGGAAGATCTCCCATCACTTCCTGTTTTGGTGCCTACAAAGGAAGATCTTCCATCGCCTCCTGTTTCAGTGCCCCCAGTGGAAGATCTCTTCTTAACTCCTGTTTTGGTGCCTCCAATGGAAGATCTCCCATCACCTCCTGTGTTGGTGCCCCCAATGGAAGATCTCCCATTTCCTCCTGTTTTGGTGCCCCTAATGGAAGATCCTCCATCACCTCCTGTTTTGGTGCCACCAGTGGAAGATCTCTCATCACCTCCTGTGTTGTTGCCCCCATTGGAAGATATCCCATCACCTCCTGTTTTGGTAACCCCAAAGGAAGATCTCCGAACACCTCCTGTTTTGGTGCCTCCATTGGAAGATCTTTCATCATCTCCTGTTTCAGTGCCCCCAGTAGAAGATCTGTCATCAATTCCTGTTTTGGTGTCCCTATTGGAAGATCTTCCATCACTTCTTGTTTTGGTGCCCCCAAAGGAAGTTCTCCCATCACCTCCTGTGTTTGTGCCCCCAATAAAAGATCTCCCATCACCCCCTGTTTTGGTGCCCCTAATGTAAGATCCCCCATCACTTCCGGTTTTGCTGCCCCTAAAGATCAGATGTACAAAAATACATATATTTACTGTGGGTTAGTTTGACCAATTATGTGTTTTCTGAAATCATTATTCCATAAGGTGGAATTCCCTTTTTATGTTATTTCTGTTGTTCTCTATCTGCAGTGCGGGAGATCATTTGATCCAAACTTTTTCTTCCTTTGGCCAAATGCAAGAATTGGTCTTGTAGATGCAGACTGTGCTCCACCTAACAGACGGGATGGGGATGGGTCAGAAGATGGGGAAGAATTCACTGCTTTGCTGACCAGGTATGTAAGATCTGAAAAAGTTTGACTTGCGATCCAAGAGGCAAAATGGTATTGGTGGGAGGCACAGGATCTACCGTTCAGTCCTTCAGTACGAAGTGGAGATTTATACTGTATGTTAGCTCTCTCTAGGTATCTCTTGCAAACCATAGTGCTATTGAAAAAGACTTTGGGGTTGATTTACTAAAACTGGAGAGTGCACAATCTGGTGCAACTCTGCATAGAAATCAATCAGCTTCCAGTTTTTTTTGTGTCAAAGATTAATTGTACAAGCTGAAGTTAGAAGCTGATTGGCTGCTATGCAGAGCTCCACCAGATTCTGAGTGCTCCAGTTTAAGTAAATCAACCCATTTGTGCAGAAACTAGGAATTTTGGAGGACACAGGAGTGTGACACCAATATCAATTTATTCCAGTTTAATTCCATCATAAATATCCAAGGTAAGACCAGCCAAGGCGTTTCTGTACCACCTGCCCCACCCTATTAGATTGTAAGCTCCTATGAGCAGGGCCCTCTTAACCCTCTTTATTGTATTGTAACTGTATTGTCTCCCGTTGTATTGTAAAGCGCTGTGTGCAAACTGTTGGCACTATATTAATCCTGTATAATAATAGTTCCCTTTCATTGGGGCTTAAATCGGCACCAAACAATATTATTCTCCACTACTTAGAGTGGTTGTAAAGGTGCAAGATTTTTTACCTTCATGCATTGTATGCATGAAGGTAAAAAACCTTCTGTGTGCACCAGCCCCCCCAGCCACCAAATACCTGAGCCCCATCGAGATCCATCGATGTGCACAACATCCTCGGCTGTTCCAGGTCTCACTGCTGTCCATGACAGCCAGTCAGCCAATAAGGAGAGAGAGGGGGCGGGACCAAGATGTGGATCCATGTGTGAATGGACACACAGAGCAGTAGCATGGGAACACGCCTGCTCAGGTTTCCCCATAGCAATCTGCTTGTTATGGGGGCACCCGACAGGAGGAGCCAGGAGCACCGACAGGGGACCTGAGAAGAGGATCAAGGCTGCACTGTGCAAAATCACTGCACGGAGCAGGAAAGTATAACATATATGTTTGTCATTTTACAAAAAAAATCACTTTAATAGCCATGTAATCTCTTTTTCATGAAATCTTTTTATTTGTATTTGCCTCCATGTAATGTTTTCCAGGAGCTATCACACCTCTCTTTTCTCTCTCACTTCCATTTGTTTGGAATGAGCAATACACATTAGTTGCAGTTGCTCACACTACCAATCCCATAGTCCATCTTGGGAGGGAGCAAGAGAGGGTGGCTACAGTGGGACCATGGAGAATGAGCGTAGCCACTCTCTAAGAGGAAGTTAGATCATGGCAGTAAACGAAAGGAATTTGGAGGAGGCTGGGAGCAGTAGAAGGGACGTTTCTGACTTAGGAATACAAAGAAACTTGGGTATGGCAAGAGCCCAACACCTTTCCCTCCGAGATGATGTTTGTAGCATCACTGGATGCCACAGAAGAGGATGACAGTAACAACAAAAAAAAAAAAACAAAATTAAAACTGTATGTTATATGACTTGAAGATGTGATCTACTGATCTATCGAGTGAAAGTAGATTGTGGAATTTTCCACTTTAAAGGATAAGTTCACCTTTGGAACATGTTGCATGTTCCACCCATTTTTTAGGGTGAAACATGTAACATGTTCCCATAGCCGCAGCCGTGCCCGCCGCCCCCTTTCCTCTGACAGATAGTACAGGGAGAAGTTTCCCTGTACTATCTGTCAGATTTGAAAACAACGCGGCCATGCGGGGCTCCGCCCACACGGCTGCATCATTCATTCACAGAGTTCTGTGTATGAGTGCCTACCAGTCCCGACAGCCTTAGCGGCTGTGGGCTTGTAGTTTTCCATGAACTACCACAGCGCTGTGGAGTGCCGTGGTAGTTCACTGAGGCTTCCTGTCAGAATATCTGCTTGGCCATACATCCCGTACATCCCCTATATCCCATACGGCAAGCAGATATTCTGACAGGTCTGCAGGAGACCTGCATGGCAACAGCCATCTACTGATCCCCTGGTGCAATGCTTTCCAGGCTCCTTTGGACAAAAATAATAAATGCACATTTTTTTACCAGCAAAAAAATGTGTATTTATTATTTTTGTCCAAAAGGTGAAGTTATCCTTTAAAGCTGAACTCTTCCCCTCAGTCTTGCACAGTTGCAGCGGCTCCTGGACTGAAATTGCTTTTACTGTTTTCACTGCACACTGTGAGCTTCTCATATTGTGCATTAGAAGCTACAGCAAGTCAGATAGACATTCCTGGCTGGAGGATGTCCAGTATCACCTAGCTCTTTTTAGCCTCAGTCATAGTGTACCTGCTTTATTCATTCATTGTATTTCATTTCCTTCAATCACAGAGTCTCAGCATCACCTGTGGCTGTTACCTAGGGTGGTCTGAATATAAATGAAGCCTGCCTAAGAGCACCCACTCCTCCAAACTGACATCCACCCATCAAGGCATTTCGATTTTTGCATAACACCTCCCAGGATGCTGTGGAGTTTTCAGGCTATGTGCAGCACCCTGCCAGCTCCTCCCACTAGCCATGATCTGCCTGCACTGCACAAGAAGCATGGAGACCCAGTGCTGATCAATGGGTCTAACATAAGATATGTGGGTGAAAACAGGTTTTATCTTATTTAGCAGGTTGATGAGGGAGGAAAGGAGGAACCAGGGCAGGCAAAATATAAGCAGATTAAACTTCAGCTTTAGTTTTGTTATTGCCTGGTAAAGGTAACATTGTAGGGTAATTGTCTAGCGATTCCATTAACCCAGAATTTATAGTAATTTGGGCAGATAGTGTGACAGGAGTCACTTTGGGGTGTGGGGCCTATGGAACCCAGTTCACTATGGAGAAATGTCTCTGCTCCCCATATCCCTCTTATGTGTAAATCACCCTGTGCCTGTTAGGGGTACAGGGTGATCTTTCCTAATATTGTGTGGGCTTTGTCTCAGACTGTGTAGACATGTTTAGGAGATAGGTGGGGTGGGGGTTGTTGATTGTTTAATGTTATATGGCTGATGCAGCCATTGTTCTATTGTTTGTCTGGCTTGGGAGCAAACTATCATGGGATGTATGTGTTTATGTGTATTAGCTTAGTGAGGGGGGGGGGGGTGTCTCCAGCAGCCCTCCTTCCTGATGGGACACTGTCTGCTGGTGTGAAGGTTGAATACCTGTGTGTCTCTTGTTACTAAATGTAGATTGCCCCGCCCTGTGTCATTATGCAGGTAGGGGGGGATTGCCCCCTGAGTGTATATATCTTGTACCTGTGTTCAAATAAAGTAGTCTACCTCCTGGTTTACTTCAAGACTGGTGTCGTCTAGTCTTGTATGGGTGGCTGTGGTGTCTGTTGTCGGTGTTTGGACGGGGAAAACGGTATTCTAATGGAAGTACTCAAGCACAGTCTGGGTCGGTTCCGTTACATTGGCTCTCAGTATTTCTCTTCATGGAAGATATAAGCTTTGGTTTATGGGTATGTGACGGTGTTAATTGGCATGCAATAACTAGCTTTTTTTTTTGTAGATTAAAGGAGGAAAGTTCAGCATTTTATTCTTCAGCCAGATTATGGGATGATGGAGTGATCCTTCCTGAAGACACCCGACAAGTAAGTCTAGATTCAAAAGGAGGAAAAAAAACAACTGTTTTGTATTTTGGCTCAAGCAGGTACATGTGAAGAATTAAAAAAAAAAGAGTAGCTGCGTTTTGTCCCATAAAATAGCCACAGCTTTCCTCCCTGTGGCTGCCAAGTTGAGGGAGAAGGGAAGGGGGGAAGCCAGCATAGTTGCTAGGGATGGGGGGGGGGGGGCAGGAAAGAGGATAGCCGGAGAGCACGGGGAGGAGGGGGTTTGTTGGAGAGCACCGGATAGCATGGGGCCAGAGAGTATAGGGGGAGGGGAGGGGGTGTGGAGTGCACGGGGGCCAGAGAGTACAGGGGAGGGGCAGAGAGAACGGGGGACAGAGTGAATGGGGAATCCGGAGAGTACAGGGGGAGGGGGCAGAGAGAACGGGGGACAGAGTGAACAGGGGAAGCCGGAGAGTACAGGGGGAGGGGGGCAGAGAGAACGGGGGACAGAGTGAACGAGGAAGCCGGAGAGTACAGGGGGAGGGGGCAGAGAGGACAGGGGACAGAGTGAACAGGGGAAGCCGGAGCGTACAGAGGGAGGGGGCAGAGACTACGGGGGACAGAGTGAACAGGTAAGCCGGAGAGTACAGGGGGAGGGGGCAGAGAGAACGGGGGACAGAGTGAACAGAGAAGCCGGAGAGTACAGGGGGAGGGGGCCGAGGGCACGGGGGCCAGAGAGAACGGGGAAGCAAGAGAGTACAGAGGGAGGGGCTGGAGAGAACGGGGATGCCGGAGAGCACGGGGCTTGAGAGTACAGGGGGAGGGAGCGGAGAGAATGGGGGCCAGAGAGAACGGGGAAGCCAGAGAGCACGGGACCAGAGAATACAGGGGGAGGGGCTGAGAGAAAGGGGGCCAGAGAGAACAGGGAAGCCGGAGAGCACGGGGCCGGAGAGTACAGGGGGAGGGGGCAGAGAATGGGGGCCGGACAGCCCAGGTGGGGGCAGTAGAAAAATGCTGGATAGGAGGAACGGTGGGGGCAGCTGCATATAGAAGAACCGTTCTCTCCATGTTCCTGCTGCAGTTGCTGAAGCTGGTTTCTCCTTCACTCCCTCTCGCCGGCATTCAGTGGCAGCAGGAGGAACATGCAGAGATCGATTCATCTATATGCCGCCAACACCAGTCCTCCTATCTAAGTGTACAGGGGGCAGCACGGACCCCCTGCTGCATGGGAGCCCGTGCTGTAGGTATGCCACTGACCAAAATGCAAAAAGGTGGGGGCGGGGGAGCCTCTGGCTCTCAGGCATGCGCTATATGTAGGCCATTCAATTTTATGGGACTAGGAGATAAATCCCACACAATCTAGAACAGTGTTTCTTAACCTTTTTTCAGTCAAGGCACCCTTTA